GGGGGAGGCCAAAGGGAGGAGCCGAACGGGGCCGGGGCCGGATTGACCGACCCGGTGCCCCCCCCCACCCAGAGCCCAAAGCCCCCAAGGGGCGGCAGGGCCGGGGGGAGGCGGGGCTGAGCCCCACCGAGCCCCTCCCCCCGACGCCGCCCCCCGAGAGCCGGGACGGAGCCCCGGAGGACGACGAGAAGCCCGGTGAGAACGGGGGAGGGGCTGGGGCGGACATGGGGGTGGGGCGGGGGGCGTGGCCGCCGCCTGACCCCGCCCCTTCAGCCGAGGCCCCGCCCCCGGAAGCGCCGCTGCGGATCGAGGTGGAGAGCGCCGAGCCCCTCCCCCCGGCGACCGGTAAGCCACGCCCACAAGGGGGAGGAGCCAAGCCTGGCCAATCACAGCGCGGCAACACCCCGGCCCTGTGCTGGCTCCTCCCCAAAACCCAAGCCACGCCCCCACACTGACCCCACCCAATCGGGGCTCCTCCCCCAAAACTGAGCCACGCCCCCAACATTGACCCCACCCAATCGTGGCTCCTTCCCAAAATTGAGCCCCGCCCCCAGCGCTGACCCCGCCCAATCGTCGTCCCGCCCCCAGCTTTTGGCCCCGCCCACAGAGCTGACCCCGCCCTGCCCTGGCTCCTCCCCGAAAACTGAGCCCTGTCCCCAAAATTGGCCCCACCCAATCGTGGCTCCTCCCCAAATCTGAGCCCCGCCCTCAACACTGACCCCACCCAGTCCTGGCCCCACCCAAAAACAGCCCCACCCCCAGCGTTGACCCCACCCAGTCCTGGCTCCACCCAAAAACTGAGCCACGCCCCCAAAATTGACCCCACCCAATCGTGGCTGCACCCAAAAACTGAGCCACACCCCCATTGACCCCACCCCGTCCTGGCTCTACCCCAAAATGAGCCACGCCCCCAACCCTTATCCCGCCCAATCGTGGCTCCTCCCCCAAACTGAGCCACGCCCCCAACCCTTATCCCGCCCAATCGTGGCTCCTTCCCCAAAACTGAACCACGCCCCCAACACTGACCTCACCCAATCCTGGCTCCTCCCCCAAAACTGAGCCACGCCCCCAACATTGACCCCACCCAATCGTGGCTCCACCCAAAAACTGAGTCACACCCCCATTGACCCCACCCCGTCCTGGCTCCTCCCCCAAACTGAGCCACGCCCCCAACACTGACCCCACCCAATCGTGGCTCCTCCCCCAAACTGAGCCACGCCCCCAGCCCTAACCCCACCCCATCCTGGCTCCTCCCCCAAACTGAGCCACGCCCCCAACCCTGACCCCGCCCAATCGTGGCTCCTCCCCTTCCTTTGGCCCCGCCCCCATTGACCCCGCCCCTCCCCCGCAGGGGACGCGGCGCTGCTGCTGCGGCTGCGCCGGGGCCGGGCCGTGGCGTGGCAGGGGGCGCTGCCCGCGGGGGAATACCTGCTGAGTCCTCCGGGCCGCCAGGGGGCGCTGCCCGCGGGGGAATACCTGCTGAGTCCTCCGGGCCGCCAGGGGGCGCTGCCCGCGGGGGGGGGGGGGCCGAGTCCTCCGGGCCGCCAGGGGGCGCTGCCCGCGGGGGGGCACCCGCCGAGTCCTC